GTAATACAACGCAAGGAAATACTAGAGAGGGTGTTTTTGTAAAAGATAAAAGATTGGGGTAAAATTTTAATTTTTAAAATATCCCAAATAATGATATTTGACCCAAATACTAGAAAAAACTAGTATTTGGAAATTTGGAATATTTGCCAAATTGTATGGACAAACATTATTTTCCAAATATTATTTGGAAAATTTATGGTCAAACGGACCCTTAGCATATAATTATTTTTCTTTCACAATATTTGTGGTTTCTTCGTCTTTAATATCAAAGAGGTCATATAAACAGATCGTTACAACAAATTCATGCAATTTAGCTTGGAGAACACGTGCTCAAATATGACCGAGGAGATGTTGATACAGCTACTTCGATATATATGTAATACACAACTAAAATACAGTGTCGCAACATTGTAACCTGACAGCGAGTTTTATTGCTTTATTCTCAAAAGCATGGAACTCCAGTCCCTAGAAAAAATCCTATACCAATCACTTGGGGAATGTGCTACTGGCCAAGAATCACATTTTCCAAATAAACAACTCCTGATCTCATTATTTTTGTTACAAGCCGTCAAGAATTACCCGTGTTCCAACCATGAATAATACACTGATCATGAGAGTGTTTTCTTTAGCAAAAGTCACCTTATAGCAGCACAAAAGAACAAGTATGCCAAGGAACTTCAGAACATTTCTTAGAGGCAATCTAATTTAAAAACATGCTACTACTACCAGCTAACACTCTGAATCTGATCCAAGTCATACCCATAAATTCAGCTCAAGATATATAAATTAATTTAAACCAGGCAAATTGCTAACGTGATACTTGCAAAATGTGAAATACTTGATGTCTGATGAAAGCACTGTACTACCTCGTACACTCTAACAGTATGTTCTTCATCATAAAGAGAAGATGAATCAAACACAACCACCAGAAGAAAAATGACCATTTCCTCCACTCAATGAATTAAGACATAATAAATAATAGAGACTAATTTGTCCTAGCTGGACCCTTATCCCTTACCCCTAATTGCCTAAAGATCTGTTTGTCTTTCAAGTGAAGGATCTACCTTTTAATACAGACCTCAAACAGATACTCCCTACTGGCAGAGCTAAATCACAAAAGCATTCGAAAATTGGAAATTGTTGGGAATACAAACTGGAAGCTAAAGCACTCTTCATCAACTGATTTACAACACATTCCGCAAAGTTATTGTGGATAATTTAGTAGCTTCAGCAAAATCATTCTAAAAAGGTAAGCCTCTCGCATACAAATACAGAGGCGCCAAGAAGACAGACAGAAAAGGTAACTTCAGACTCTCCAGGATTTATTTTATTACATTTTATTTTTGGGTCTACAAGGTTGTCGGAACTTGAATACATGAGAAACTGAAATTACAGGAAATGTTTAGAAACGGAATATGACTTGCATATCTCAACCACAAATAAACCTATACGAGATCTGAATATTTCAGGAACTATCACGTTTCGCTTATTTTAACACACGTGATTATGGTATATTGTTGCAGACTCCAGGAACTTCCCATAATGATGAACTGCCACATCTCTATATGGCTTTACAGCAATACGAACTTTTTCAACATGAGGTTTTGTAGCAGTGGCAACTTGATCGATGTATGGCTTGCTAGTTCCTGTGAAAAAATTATGCTTTCATCACATCACATACAAATAAAACCGAAAAAATAGGTGTAAGTTATACATTTGATGCATGTAGAACGACGGGGATTATATTCCTTACTGTGAGTACTTAATATTTCAGTAAATATTAATTCATTTGGATGAACAGATAAGGGATGTTACCTGAAAGTGAGGTTCTGCTAGCTCCTGAACCTTGACAATATGTGGAGTTACGGCGCTTTTAGATGTCTCATAGATCTCAAATCCTTTGGTCCTCACCAATTCCATTTGTGGCTTGAGGTTAGTGGTCATTACCACCCATTGTTCCTTCACAGCAGGCATCCATTTCTTCAAAAAGTAGAGCAGCAAACACGAGAGATCCTCTATCTTGATAATAAATACAGCACAAAAAGCTAGCTTTAGGAGTAAATTAAATGTTTGAAGTAGATAATTGTATCTACATGTAAAAAAAAACTAATAGAGAGTCTGGAAGTCATCTTACTCCCCACTCTTTAGCTTGTCCTACTAACTCTTGATTTTCCTCCCCCGGATGTCTGGTGAGAACTCACCTCTGGGGAAGAAATAAAGATACTCTACCATTTTATTGTTTTAGTACTTATTTCCATGAAGAGATGAGGAGTTAATGTAATAACTTACTCACTAATGTATACCTAGAGGTGCCAAATGGGCTGGAATTGGGCAAGTTAAATTGGGGTGAGTTAATAAATGGGTTGGGTTAACACAAAATGATGAGAAACAGAGAATAGAAATGTGAGAGACTGGGGTGTTGTAGAGAAGGAAGAAGTGGTATACCCTAAAAGAAGGACCTACTCCATCTTTTTCCAATATTTATGACACTCTTTTCCATTTTGGGACATTCCAAAGTATTTGGCATCATAGCATTTCTGGCTTTCGTAAGTGCCGAGAACTCATCCAATAAATTAAATTAACTGAAGATGCAAAGCTGACTTACTGTTTTGACTGTTTCTACATGTGGCGCAGCCCATACCTCAGCTTGAGCCTTCTTCTCAACTGCCTAAGAAGCAAGTGAAAAAGGGTAAACAGGATAGAATAGTAACTCAAACAAGAATTCATTCAATAATCAATAGTTAAACAGGATCCAGTAGCAACAAGACATGTACCTTCTGTATCATTGTGTTCATAGCAGGTTTTCCGTGCTCCTCCCAATGCTTCTCCAGAGGAGACTGAAATACACAGCAGAGTCAGCAATCCATTTACAAGAAGGTTAGTTATGATTTTTGCTCAAAATACCTTGTAGTGAGTCATATGAACTTCAAGCCAACGTGGAAGCTATGCCCCATGCACCTGGATTTTAAGCAGAAGGAAAGAGCCAGGTTAACATTTATATAATGGATTAACATCATGTACAAAGCAAAGCATAGATAGAGAGCACGTCTTCAAACTTGTCGAGTTCTCCAACTCTTTCTTGGTCTTGTAACTAAGCCAGTGAATTGCTGCACTTAAAGATGCCTACACAGTTTATGATTATGCAGAATGCTACTTTGATCCTTTTTTTTCCCTTATTGCTGGGCTGTGCATGGTGCAGGAAGCATAACCTGGTTCCCATGAATCAGATTCTCATCCAAAATTTTACAACTAAATCGCCATACATCACCACAAACCAGAGATAACTTCCGCACATCACAACTCCATAACCCAAGAAAGAGGGCAAACATAAGGGGAACTACAAAAAACCACCCTTCCCCCCTCATATTGACAAAATATGTGAAAACCCATCCAACTTTTTACCCCACATAGGATCTTTATGACTTTAATAATACAATTCTAGACAAGATCATGATAACCCACAAAATTTGGGGAAAATTGCTACTGAAGACTGTTTTTTCATGCTAACCATAAATCAACAGAAGCCAAAAAATCTCTACTAATTATGAATGATTCAAATAAAAGAAGACTGTACTTGATTATCCCACCTAAAATAAAGGGCAGACAAGCTGTAGAACTTAAGAGTGCCCTCTAAATAAATATATGCAGGATACCTACTGGCTTTCTTCTTCCCCAAGTAGCACATAGCCAACAGCCAAAAAACACAACACCCACACATTTGCAACAAAATTCTTGCAAAACCAAAACAACCTACAATTTCATTCATGGATATCTTCCTCCACTATCTATGTGCCAGTACAACAATTTGTCAGCACTTTTTCCTTCAAAAATCCGGTCATCCAATGGGTATTTGATTTGCCTATTTTTCTCTCCATCACCTAGCTGAGTTGACTTCTCTGTCAGATTCTTTTTGTCAAAATTATAACACTTCCTACCTCCACTATAATTGAGGCAGCCAACATTCTACTTGATAGACTATCTAAAAAACTTTTGGAATTAATTAATTACAGCATTACAACTGCAGCATCTTCTTTGTGCCCTAAAAATGACTACATGACTGAGGAAAGCATTCCAATCCTTTATTCTACATCATCATAATGTTGACTCCTTAATTACCTAGAGTTTAACAAGTCGTCTACATTCCTTGCTTAATGATTTAGATTCTATCAAACTTCAAGAATATGTTTAATGAAAGCCAAGAGTTCTACAGCCTTTCTCCAACTTTTTAAATCATTTGTCCATAGTTCTTATGAGATCTGCTATTGGACTAAATAGATAAAGAAAAGGAAGTTATTTCATTTTACTACTTTATGGTTTGTTGCACTAGTGGAACAAGTTGGATAGCTGCCATAATAACTCTAGCATGATGTGCTGTAAACAAGAAACACAACAGCATATCCAACTGCCTTTTTAAAACTTCTGTTTAGTTACTTGGCTCCAGACTCTCAACTACTAGGACATGCAAAAAAAATGTGATCGCCAAATCTTCCTGATCAGAAAAATGTAATCCTCAGATCTTAAAAGTTCAAAGAGAAGGAAGAACAAATGCAGCTCATCTGTGACGAGAGTAACTTCTTCTTTTTCCCTTGGTAAAAGATATCCTATCTAAAGATGCAATACATGAAATTTCATTTATGCTTTGATGTTGAATCTGTTATGGTGGAATTCCATCTGCTTGAATAACTACTGTAGCAATTAATTAAGACATAGATAACACAATTACAAAGAAAAGAGAAAAGTATTAACAATATAATTATAATTAGTTTGTTAGTTATGTTAGTTGTATTAGTTAGAAGTGTTAGTTAGATGTCACATCAAGTTAGTTAGATATTTTGAAAGTTAGTTAGTCACACATTTTACATTTTATCTTTTGTATTTGTTGAGTATAGGATTACAATTCTCTTGTATATATACATGTGAGAATCAATACAGGAAGATCACAATTTTCATCTTCTACAACTCAGTACATGTGATGCCTTCTTCCTTTCTTCTTCTTCTTCTTCTTTCTCCTAAATCGATTGTCATTGTTTCTTTCTGTTTTGGTGTAAATCATCATTGTTGATCAGCTCAATATGGTATCAGAGCAAGGCTGTTCTTGCTGTTTTTGATTCGAATTTGCTGTTAGTTTCTTCTTGTTTGGTTGTTTTTCTTGTATCTAGTCGATCCTTCATCATGACAGAACCTGAAAGTGCTCCTTCAGCACAAGGAACCTCTGTTAATGGTGATGTACACAGCACTCTATACATACATCCTTCGGATAGCCCTGGTATGGTATTGGTTCCAACTCAATTCGATGGAACGGGATATAGATCTTGGAGAAGAGGAGTTATGCGAGCTTTGTCAGTGAAGAACAAGCTTGGATTTATTGATGGCAGCTGTGTTAAACCAACTGCAAACTCAAACCAGTCGCATCAATGGCAGAGATGCGATGACATGGTGACTTCCTGGATTTTAAACTCTCTCACTAAGGAAATTGCAGATAGTGTAGAGTATGTTAGTGATTCAGTGGAACTTTGGAAAGAACTTGAAGATAGATATGATCAAACAAATGGAGCAAAGCTATATCAAATCAAAAGGAGATTAATGATCTCACACAGGGAAATTTGGATATAACAGTCTACTACACCAGGATGAAAAAGCTTTGGGAAGAACTGAGCACTTTGAATGTGAAAAAAAAGTGCTATTGTGCTTGTAATTGTGGAGCCAAGGATGGATTATACAAAGCAGAACAAGATAGACGTTTGATACAATTCTTAATGGGGATGAATGAGGTGTATACTGTGATAAGAGGCAACATACTTATGATGAATCCTCTTCCAACAATGGCACAGGCTTTTTCCTTGATGATTCAAGAGGAGAAGCAAAGGGAGTTTAAACCTGCTAATCAAACTCCTATGGAATCTATTTCCTTGAATGTGAACTCTTCTAATAACAATGGAAAGGGATCAACAGGAAGAAACTACAAAACATCATTCTCTAATGAAAACTACTCTGGCAATATTTCAAGTAACAACAATTATGGAGGATCCAACTACTTACCAGCTAACAGTAGCAATAGAAGTAATATGGTTTGTAGTTACTGTAAAAGGACAGGACATATCAGGGAGAAATGTTACAAGTTGATTGGATATCCTAGTCAGACTAATAGGAACAATGGATCTCATGCAAGGCAGAACAATAATCATGAATATAGAGGAAGGAGAGTTGTAGCCAATGTTCATGGATCCTCTGATAGTGTGGCATCTGCACAAGGAGAAGATTGCATGCAAAATAATCAGAATCAAATGGTTACATTCACTAAGGATCAGTATGATAACATGATGAAACTTTTGCAGAATTTTCGAGTTGAAGGAACTGATTTGAACTACTCAAACATGAAAGCTGGTTCTGTGAACTTTGTAGGTACTATAGTATGTTCTTCATCTATTGATTTTGGCAATCCTTCATGTGAATGTTTTAAATCAAGTGCTGACTTATGGATCATTGATTCGGGAGCATCAAACCATATAACCTTTAACAAAACCTCCCTCACCAATATTCAAACCATGTCTTACCCTATGCTTGTGTCTTTACCCAATGGATACAAAGTTAAGGTGATAGAGTTTGGTGATGTAGTGATCACATCTGGAATTGTTCTACACAATGTGCTATATGTGCCCTCTTTTAAATACAATCTAGTGTCAGTTCATTCATTAACTCTTTCAACGAAAAGTGTCATCCTATTCACCAGTGTTTCTTGTTTACTGCAGGTCCCTTCAGTGAAGAGGCCTCAGGTACTTGGTAATAGCAGAGAAGGACTCTACTTTCTTTGTTCAAGATGTCTGAAGAATCCTGCTAGTTTCACCACATGCTGCTGTATGTCTCACAACAATCAAAATTCTTCTTTGTCTAGCAATAATGGTCAAGCCACAAACAAAACTTTACATGATAATAACAAATGTACTAGCCATACTGTTTGTTCTTCTACTTCTGATGCTGTATCTACTAAACATAGTGTAGACCTATTGTGGCATAATAGACTTGGCCATGTGCCCTTTGTGAAAATGAGGAAAATATCTACCATCCCAGCCAGTTTCTCAAACAAACAACCCTTTATGTGCACAATCTGTCCTATGGCAAGACAAGAAAGATTGCCTTTTAGCCAAAGTGTCACACATTCTAACTCCATTTTTGAACTTATTCATGTTGATATATGGGGTCCTTACCATGCACCTACCCATGACAATTACAGATATTTCATCACCATAGTGGATGATTTTAGTAGATCAACCTGGACTCATCTGTTAAGCACCAAGAGCAATGCCTTACAAGTTCTCAAAAACTTTGTAAATATGATAGAAAACCAATTCCAAACCAGTCAAAATTGTTAGATCAGATAATGGACTTGAGTTTAATAACAATGAAACCAAATTCTTCTTTCAATCCAAAGGTATAATCCATCAAAAGAGTTGTCCATATACACCTCAACAAAACAACATAGTGGAAAGAAAACACAAATATTTGTTAGAGACAGCAAGAGCTCTTCTATTTCAATCAAAGCTTCCCATAAAATACTGGGGGGAATGTGTGCTTACAGCAACACATCTTATAAACAGACTTCCTTCAGTCTATTTGAAAAACAAATGTCCTTATGAAATTCTGTACAAAACAAAACCAGATTACAGCCAACTTAGTTCTTTTGGTTGTTTGTGCTACCCAACATTGCCCAAAGTTCAAAGAGATAAACTGCAATCTAGAACCACTCCTCATGTGTTTGTAGGTTACCCCTTTGGAACAAAAGGATACAAAGTGATGAGTCTTGCCACAAAAAGGATACATATGTCTAGGGATGTAGTGTTTCATGAATATCTGTTCCCTTTTACAATAACTTCAGATAAATGTGTCTTTCCTTCTATTCCTGGTACAAGTTCTACAAATAACAGAACTGTTTCTTTAGATGTTTTTGATGATTGTATTGATTCAATACCTGATAACACCTTGGTAAATCAAAATACAGATGTGCTACCTACTTCTTCAACCTTATTACCTAATCCTCCATTTTATAACAGAAATCAATCACCTACATTACTACACAGAAGATCACAAAGAGAAAGCAAGATCCCTTCACATTTGAAAGATTACATCTACTCAATTCCTACCCTAAAGACTCATATTCCTACCACACAGCCCATTCCCATTGATAAAAGTTTTTCTTTGAATGCCATGTTCACTAAACACCATCACATTACTCCCAATGATATTGCATCTAATAGTCAAGCAGTAGTTGAAAACATTTGCCATGATAGTGAGCCTTTATCTTATGAGGAAGCAGCCTTAAGTCCTGCATGGCAAAATGTCATGGTGCAAGAATTTGATGCACTTTATGCAAACAATACCTGGACTCTTGTAAAGTTACCTGCAGGAAAACAGGCAATTGGATGTAGATGGGTGTATAAAGTGAAACACAAATCTGATGGTGGCATTGAGAGGTTTAAAGCCAGACTAGTAGTCAAAGGTTACACTCAACAGGCTGGTGTAGATTATACAGAGACCTATTCTCCAGTAGTTAAAATGACCACTGTGAGAACCTTAATTGCATGTGCTGTTAAAAAGGGTTGGGAGATGTCTCAGCTTGATGTAAACAATGCCTTTTTTCATGGTGATCTCCATGAAGAAGTATACATGAAACTACCACAAGGGCTTGCTGTGGATGACTTGAGCTTAGTGTGCAAGCTAAACAAATCTCTTTATGGTTTAAAACAGGCTAGTCGACAATGGTATGCCAAGTTGACTGAGGCTCTATCACTCAGAGGATATGTACATTCTCATCATGATTACTCACTTTTTCACAGAAAAGTTGGTGCCTTAGTTGTCTTTGTTGCAGTATATGTTGATGATATTATTCTCACAGGCACAGACATTGCTGAGATTACATAGTTAAAGGCCTACTTGGATGATACTTTTAAGATTAAAGATCTTGGTCGATTGCATTACTTTCTAGGGATGGAAATACTTGACATACCAGGAGGGGTACTTGTCTCCCAAAGAAAGTTTGTATTGGATTTACTAAAAGAATATAATTGTTATGATCAGAGTTCACTTACATCTCCCCTTGATCCAAATATCAAACTAAGGGCTAAAGAAGGAACTCCATTACCTGATCCTACATACTACAGAAAACTAGTAGGAAAATTGAATTTTCTTACTAACACTAGACTGGATATAGCATTCCGTGTTCAACACTTGAACCAATTTATGCAAGACCCTAGAACTTCACATTTACAGGCAGCATTTCATCTGCTTAGATACTTGAAACAGGATCCAACTCTAGGCCTTCATCTATCCAAAGATTCTGATTGCTCAATCAGAGCATATTGTGATTCAGACTGGGCATCTTGTCCAGATTCAAGAAGATCAGTTAGTGGATACTTGGTTCTACTTGGGAACAGTCCAATCAGCTGGAAATCAAAGAAACAAGAAACCATCTCATTATCCTCTGCAGAAGCAGAATATAGATTCATCGGGAAGGTAGTAGGTGAGCTGGTTTGGCTTCACAGGTTGACAAAAGAGTTAACTATATCTGATTCTTCACCTATTCCTGTCTTTTGTGATAGTCAATCTGCCATCCACATAGCTCACAATCCTGTTTTCCATGAGAGAACCAAGCACATTGAAGTCGATTGTCTCTTTGTACGCAGCAAACTTCAGGTGGGGCTCATTTCACTACATCACATTTCCACTACTGAATAGCAGATATACTCACAAAGGCCCTCACTGGAGTTAAACATTCAGCATTACTCAACAAGTTGGCTGTGAGATCATCACTGCCAACTTGAGGAGGGGTATTAACAATATAATTATAATTAGTTTGTTAGTTATGTTAGTTGTATTAGTTAAAAGTGTTAGTTAGATGTCACATCAAGTTAGTTAGATATTTTGAAAGTTAGTTAGTCACACATTTTACATTTTATCTTTTGTATTTGTTGAGTATAGGATTACAATTCTCTTGTATATATACATGTAAGAATCAATACAGGAAGATCACAATTTTCATCTTCTACAACTCAATACATGTGATGCCTTCTTCCTTTCTTCTTCTTCTTCTTCTTTCTCCTAAATCGATTGTCATTGTTTCTTTCTGTTTTGGTATAAATCACCATTGTTGATCAGCTCAATAAAAAGAAAGAAAATGAGCTACTTCTTATTTTACAAAAAAAGTAAAGCATATCAAACACTCACCTTTTCGACCTTCACATATAACTCCGACGCTCTTTTCTCTGCTTCAACCTATATGCGCTTCCAAGTCTCTTTTCTCCTTATTTTTCATTTCAACTTCCTCTTTTAATCTCTCAACCTGCTTTTCAAGCTGATCAGCTTGTGCACGAGACTTTCCAACTTGCTCCTCAGAATCTAGCGTTCCCTTTTTCTATACAAAACAATACGACTAACATCAATACTACTATGGCATTTTATGAAACTAAAATAGCATTACAAAGCCAACTTGCTAATTTGAGGTACTCACCTGTAGAGAGGACAATTCAGATGACAATGACTTTTCTTTTATTATGTTCTCTTTGTCTGCAATCACCTCATCCTTTCCTTTCAGTGCTCGCGCAGTCTCCTCAATGTTTGATTCTGAAAAAAAGTAGAACCCATTAGAAGGAAAGTGAAATGGTTAATAATTAGTATTTGGTAGCCAAAATTGAAACAAAACAACTCTACATCCCAAGCATCAATCCAAAACTCACTGTTGCAGAATTGCCTTACAACACAAGGAAAAAACAGCATGGAACTTAAAAACATCATTACTCGACGCCAATGACAACAGCAAAGTACAAAGTATGATAACTGCAGAATAGGCACTCTCCAAAATTTACAACCTTGTCTCAATTTTTTTTAAGGATGTGAAAGTTAGTCTTGGTTGCGACTCTCTATTCCAAATTAGTTGTGCTGCTTTGCATATAAGTACAAAGTATGATAACTGCCGAATAGGCACTCTCCCAAATTTACAACCTTGTCAGATGTGAAAGTTAGTCTTGGTTGCAACTCTCTATAAGTTGTGCATATAATCTCTGATTTGTACAGTTTCGAAAAGAAAAGTGTAATTGCAGATTATCTCTAAATTTGTGCAGTTTCAAAAACAGTATCTCCCTATCTGTGGAATATTTTTTTCAACAGCAAACCAACAAGACATCTTTTTCATAAACCCGAGAACGTATGTGGATCCATAATAGTCTGCTTCAAATGTTTAAAGCTATCAAATCACTATGTTCATCTTCGGACTTCTACTGAGACTGAACAGAGTATACATCTTGGAGTTGGAAAAACTACCAAATTTGAGCCTGCAGCTTCCTACTGCAAAATCTAAGCCCCATGTTTCTTTAGCAACTTCACTTGAAAATAATGTTACTTCATTTGAAACTTGGAGTTTGTTTTCACAAGTTCTCAAAAGAATTTGAACTTCAACTTCATTTCACAAGTTCTTTACTGGTCAAAGTAATTCATTGTGAACGTTCATTTCCTCTTCGTTTTGAACATCATACAGAATACAACGAAAAAATCCTGTAATAATATGCTAGCCTTACAAAAAGATCCCTTCTTTCTTCATAATTTCCAGCTCAATCAATCACAATTTTTGAAAAATAACACCTTTAAGTAAGTCAACCTATCAAATTGACTCCAAACAACTCATTTGGAGTAAAAAACTACACTTCTCAGTGATAGAATTCAAGAATCAAAACATGCATACTCACAGTACCAATCAAAAAAAAAACATGCATACTCACAGTACTAATTAAGCAAAAAGTCCAAACTTATCAAGAAAAATTAAATCGAATAAACAGGTCTTTTGACAATATGGATCTGTTTTTGAAAAAAAAAAATCTATTAACTTCATCTAACTATTATTTAAATTATTAGAATAAGAGCATAATTACTCTGTAAGTACACTTATTTTTGTTTTTTATAAACAATTGATACTCCTTATTATTTTTATATCAGAATAGATAAACTTTGAGTGACTAGTAAAAATCAATAACGGATATATAAACGGCTTTTCAAAAATCCAACGGTTTTCAAAATAGCAATAATTTCAAGTCGTTCATAAATCGAATGATTTTTTAAAAATAATAAAGGTAAGTCTCTCAACCTCGACTTACCAAAAAAATTAAAACGAATAAACGATCGTTTGAGAGTTGTTAATAATATGACAAGTCGCTCAACTCTAACGAATTATTTGTTTGTCGTATAAAAAAGAAGTATTCACTTCAGATAAAATAAGTGAAACTTCTAACTTAAGATTTCATAACTCACAACTATTTATGTACGCGAAAAATTATTAATTTTAACGTATTCGATATTTTTGTTTAGTTAATAAATAATATGGAAATATTTTTAAAAAACCTTGATAAACTTCATCTAACCGATATTTCATCAATTATTAGAAGAATGACATAATTACTTTTATTCGTACACCTTTTTTTGTTTTTGATAAATAATTGATTTTTCTTATTATTTTAATATCATAATGAATAAACTTTGAGTGACTTGTCAAAATTAATAAACGGCTATATAAACGATTTTTAAAATCCAACGGTTTTTCATAATAGCAATAATGTAAAGTCGTTCATCAATCCAATAAATTTTTTAAATAATATTGGTAAGTCCCTCAACGATGACTTACCAAAAGAATAATTAAACTGAATTAACGGCGTTTTAACGGACATCCGTTAATAATTCAGACAAGTCGTTCAACTTTAACGAATTACCCATTTTATTCGTATAAAAAATAAGTATTCATTTCAAATAAGATAAGTGAACCTTCTAACTTCAGATTCCAGAACTCACAACTATTTTTTTACGCGCGAAATTAATAATTTTTACATATTCAATATTTTAGTTTAGTTGATAAACAATATGGAAATGTTTTTAAAAGAATTTGATAAACTTCATCTAACTGTTATTTCAGTTATTAGAAAAATGACATAATTACTTTTGTTAATATACTTTTTTTTGGAAAAATGTACAAGTATCCCCTTAATCTATGTCCGAATTCTCAGAGACACACTTATACTATACTCAAGTCCTATTACTCCCCTATATTTATTTTATATATAATTTTCTACCCCTTTTGGGCCTATGTGACACTATCTTTTGGGCCCAGTGTGTGTTGACATTTTTTTTCAAGCTAGTGCCACGTAGGCCGAAAAGGGGTGGAAAATTAATTTATAAAATAAGTTCAGGTGTAATAGGACCTTATTATAGTATAAGTGTGTCTGTGAAATTTCGGGCATAGATTGAGGGGGTACTTGTGCATTATCCCTAAAAAAAGGGAAAATTATTTTATGAACAAATTGATAAATTCAGATAAGATAAGTGAACCTTCTAACTTCAAATTTCAGAACCCACGATTATTTATGTACGCGTGAAATTACTATATTATAACGCATTCGACATCTTCATTCAGTTAATTAAACAACGTGGTAAGTTTTTGAAAAAATTCGATAAACTTCAAAGGAAAAAGGGTCTGATATACCCCTCAACTTTGTCATTTAGAGTTGATATACCCTTTGTTATGAAAGTGACTCATATATACCCCTACTTGTAAACAAATGACTCACATATACCCTTTTCCTCTAATGGAAACGAAAATAATTTAAATTTTTATTATTTTTTCTAAAAAATATAATCTCATATGAGTAAATTTAATCCTCGTCAGACATATGGGTATGTGACACCCCACAAGTTGACTAGTGCTGAGCCAGGAGATTTTCCTTTGGTTTTTTGACTTTTTTTTATTTCAATGACTAATTTATAATTATTATTTTGATAATCAAATTTATTTTTGTTTCACTAATATTCTTGTAAAACTTATTGTAGATGACCAAATTTTTTCTTCGAATACGAAATTAAATTACAATACACACAAAAAATAGTTTAATTTTTTTCTTTAAACTAAGGAATGAAAGAAAAAAACAAAATAAGAATAAGAAACTCAAATAATTATAATAAAAGAAGTTTAAAAAATAATTTATGTATGAAAAATATGAAAATATATAGAAGGATCATATATGCCCCTAAATAATTTTATTTTTTTAAAATTAGAAGTAATAAAAATAAATTTGAAATTAATTTTTTAAATTCCGTTAAATGAAGCGTATATGTGAGTCATTTTGTAACGACAGGGGTATATGTGAGCCGTTTATATAAAGATAAGGGCATATATGAGCCACTTTTATAACGAGGGGTATATCACCTCCAAATGACAAAGTTGAGGGATATATCAGACCTTTTTCCCAACTTCAAATAATCGTTATTTTTGTTATTATAACTAGCACATAATTACTTTTATTAGCAAAAAAAGACCTTTTTTTGTATTGATAATTTTATTGTTCTTATTATTTTTCTATGTTTTTCATCACTTATAATATGTGTTGTATATTATGATTTTCATATTATAATTTTGTAAATGAATCCTCATTATTTATACAAAATTGAAAAATTACATAATGATTTTTTTTTAAGAAAGTAACGCCCAAGACGTTATATTAAGACACCTCTTCCCATTTTTCACATACAACCAAAACCTTTTCAGCAAAACTCTCACTGAAAAACTCTTTTCACTCTGTTTTTTCTCTCAACTCAACAATGGTGTACTCTATTGTTATTAGCTCATCATTTGCACCGACGATTCATGGTTCATATGCGGCTGCGCCGCCACTGCTGAAATCGCTTGCTGTAAAATCCGATTCTGTTTCTACTGGAAAATCAGTTGCGATTGTGCAAAAATGGTTGGGAAGGTCTGGGGATAAAAAAATTTTAAGAACAATAACAGTAAGTCCCTCAACGCTGACTTACCAAAAATTATTAATTAAACTGAATTAACGGTCGTTTGACAGACATCCGTTAATAATTCTTACATGTCGTTAAACTTTAACGAATTACCCGTTTTTGTCATACAAAAAAATAAGTATCATTTCAAATAAGATAAGTGAACCTTCTAACTTCACATATCATAACTCACAACTAACTTTTTATGCGCGAAATTATTAATTTTTAACGTATTTCATATTTTTGTTTAGTTGATAAACAATATGGAAATGTTTTTAAAAGAACTCGATAAACTTCATCTAACCGTTATTTCAACTATTAGAAGGACATAATTACTTTTATTAATATACACTTTTTTATAAGCAATTGATTTTACTTTATCATTTTGATAAACTTTGAGCTACTTGTCAAAATTAATAACGGCTATATAAATGATTTTTCAAAATAGCAATAATGTTAAGTCGTTCATCAATCTAACGGATTTTTGAAAATAATAACGGTAAGTCTCTCAATGGTGACTTAAAATGAATAAACCATCATTTGAGAGCTGTTAATAATACGACAGGTCACTCAACTCTAATGAATTATCCGTTTCGTCGTATAAAAAACAAGTATCCCTTTATCCATTTAAGATAAGATAAGTGAAACTTCTAACTTCACATTTTACAACTCACGACTATTTATGTACACGCATAGTTATTAATTATTAACGTATTCGATATTTTTGTTTAGTTAATAAACAATATGGACATGCTTTAAAAAGAACTTGATAAACTTCATCTAATTTTTATTTCAGTTATTAGATGAAGGACATAATTACTTATATTTGTACACTTT